GACCGTGATGGGCAATATTGAATAAGACTACAAATGTCTATTGATAACTTTTGTGAGTGCGTGAAACAGATCGAGTGGACTCAATTTTGACTTCGAGGATTTTCTCACGAAAATTCTGTTAGCGAAGAGAAGAAAAAGGAAAAGGCATAAAAGTCAAAATGTGAAGTACTGTGTCTTCTATAGGTACATTAGGGGGATGCTGAAGGAAGTTCTCAAAAGCGGCAGTCGTCGACAGAAGGCCGAGACGACTCGAAAAAAGCAGAGCCTGAAGATTCCGAGAAAACTGCGCTGTATCATCCCATGATGGTAACTCTGGTGGTTAGGAATGGATGTCGGATAACGAACCGAGCAGACTTGGAGAACATTTGTAGGAAATTTTACACAAATTTGTTCACATCACATGCCGATGTTCCTGCACCTGTGATTTGCGGCACCATACAGCAGATTTCTTCAGTACTTGTCAATGTGTGCAGTTCTCCAAATGAAAAGTGAACGAGATTCCGATAACGATAGGATTAATAACCACTTCATAAATCCTAAAGTGTAAAACCCTAGCCACTCGACTAGTCGGCACTTGGCCGAAAGAACATTACTTAACAGCCAGAAAGAATTGTTTTGCTATGCAGTTGCCGTCCAGTCTGCTTATTGTCTTTTATTTAGAAGTATATCTATATTGATAGCCCCGGCGGTCTTGATGTAAAATGGAAAAGATGAAGAGGACGTAGAGGAGCAAAAAGGAATATAAGTTTATGTGAATTTCCTCATTCCACTTGTTTTCAGCTGGGTACAAGTCATGGCCTTTCTGCCTCTTATAGTTCTCACTAATTGGTGTAATGGTGATAATTTCGTATTTTATAAGTAGACAACAGTTCGGCGCACTATGGCTACTGTTCATGGATCTTGAACTTTTTAGAGCCTGTCGAACGAAGCGCCGTGGCTATGGCAGATACACATAATTTGAAAATTGAGATTGAAGCAGGTTCAGTGGCATTGCGAATGAATTACCCAACAAATAAATCTTATTTGGGCGTAATCAGAGTGGAGGAGCTTTCGACAGTTATACAAGTGAGCGCCTGTTTTCACACTTGGAATTTGTTTATCCCTGGCTAATTCCACGATTTTGCTGCTGCATTGCGCTCGATTCTTGCACATTTTTAAATACTCAAAAATGCTAGCATAACTGCTCCCACTTTTAAATAATGGGCTATTGGGCAAAAACTTCAAATTCTGGAAAACAACAAAAATTTTTTGTTTAGCAAACAATGAGAATTAATTTTGTTAAAATTTGGCATCTTTCAAAATGCAGAAAATATTTCAAAATAAAACGTCGTGTTATTTTTTCTCTAAAAGAGAACACCAGCGTTTTCTTCGAATTGAGTTTTTCTTAACATTTGCTTGTTGCATCAGCAATAGCTACTTTGAGATGCTGCGAGCACGCCAAATAAGCTCTTTGATTTCAAGGCAAGTGTGAACAATGAGGAAGTGCCACTGGAAGTACTGCTCTCACTGGGCGCCTGCTTCTGTTCTGACAACACGCCGTTCTATTCGGAATTGTATAGCGAACGAATTAGCTTGCAACAGCCAAACTTACGAAGCGAAAAAGCGGCGGGAAAAGATTCGAGTCCTCTCAGTGATGAGGCACCAAAAGCCACAATCCAGATTACGAAGTAAGATCCACGCACTAGTGCACGTTCTTTTTTTATAGTAGAAGACGAGATTCTGTTTCATGCGGCGGAATGCCTGAATATTTTCATTTTCCGAAAGACCTGGAACTCTGTTTCTCTTTGGCCAAATAACACTTTTATCTGCATTTTTTATTCTCATGAAACTGGTGAACTTAATGTAATGGAAAGCAACGTTTTACTTATATATAAGCTGATTTTACAGTTCGGTTGTTGTGGGGAGACCAATTCCCCCTTCGTAGGTCGGTTTTTTTTCGTAGCAAGTCGGTAATGGCTGACATCAGGAAATTGGCACGGTCATTAGTTTGCTTTTGAGCAAATTTTAGAAGGCCATTTGATTAATTACCGTAGATAGTGTGCAACCACCTGAGCTACTCCCGAACACCTCCGTTTCTC